TTTCTTTTCGTTATTTACTTGGATACTTTTACTCGAAAATTGTGGATACTTGTGCAAATTTATAGCTAAAGAAATGAAATTTAAATGAAAATTTATTTAATTTATGATATTCTAATTTCTATACATTTCTTTTTCTTTATATTTCCTATAATTCGTTGTCAACATCCATACTTCCCTTATCTATTTTCATCCTACCCCACGTATTCAATATTTTTCGTATAAATTTTATACATTTCCGCATCCTTATAGATATAATATGAATATCAATGTTCATCTCCCTAATTCTATCCTATACAATTTTGCATCTCGATATTTGATAAATACAACTCTCACAAATATAATAAACAATGAATTATATATAAAACAATGAATTACTTATCCTCCCTCCTTATTTACGTTCTAAATACACATTTGCCTCTTAATTCCCTACGAATATAATTAACAAACACTAAATATCCTAATATCATTGTCCATTATTCGCGTTCTCCGTAATTCCTCCATCGTTTCCTTCGATTTTCGCAACTTTGCCATTTACGATTTTCTTCCCCTCTATCCCGGTTCCTCCCTCGCTCTATCTCTCTTTCTCACGTTTTTATTCCCCTACTTACTCCTCCCGCGAGACGCTTTGCTCTCGCACAGCCGCTACTCGGCTTATGACTATTTTTAACCGCGCGAGTCGCGCGGCAATCCACAACCCTGCGTTGCCACGCCATATTAGTACAGGCGACCGGCCCGGATCCCCACTATCCTCGGAATCGGCCGACACCTTACACCCTCTCTCTGCGTTTCGTGTAGGTGGACCACCGATATCGCCGCGATTCGATCCACCCTGTATCTTTTACATTATATCTCTATCTCCAACAGATTTTTTTTTTCTTACTTTTTAAGGCTTGAATCGTGTTATTTCGCGTACTATTTCTGAGTTATCGATTTAATTCTTCTGTGTAATTTTTATTTTAGATAACGAATATTATGACAGAATTTTAAATATGAGTTGTATAGAAATAAATAATAGACGAGATTTTTTAACTCTTTAAAGAATTAATTTTATTATTATGTTATCTTTGACCGTTTATTATTTTTTTAGGGATATAAGAATATTTCAAAAATATATGTAATGTGTATTTTTATCTTAAATTGAGAAAAATTTAATTAATGGCAGAATTTTAATATAGAAGAATAAATATCCTAAAGATAATAAAAGGTTAATGATTGATGATTTAGACAAATGCATAAAACATTTGCATCACAGTTCTATGTTTTATAAGATGTTGTTTTTAGACATTGTTTAGAGGGAAGTTCCAATTGCTGTTTCTGTTGGCACTGTTATAAGATTTATAATGATTGATGCAGAATTTTATTAAATTCCTCGTAGTTTCAGATAAATTATTTGTTAAGATGAGGAAAAAGGAATAGAGATAGAAGAGCAGAACTATTCCCTTTAGAGACAAAAGTTAATTTTTAATAATCAATATAATAGTTTATATTATAATGATATAAATGAAGAAGAAAATTTTGCTCCTATCTAATTGATATTGATATTATTAATGCCTCATTCATTTTAATTAATTCAGAAATTCCCTCATAAACTTTTTATTTACAAATTCTATCCTATTTTTATAAATTTCTATTTATACTTAAAAGTACAAACAATGAACAACGACAAACTATTAATAAAACATTTAAAATATTGTAAATATGATTAAAAATTGTTCTAAGAGTTCTAAAAACTTCTTTTAATTTACAATATTTACAGGGCTGATAAGGAAAAATCAAAGTTCCAACAAGAGGTATATGAACTCCTTGCTCAGCTTGACAATGTCACCAAAGAAAAGCTGTTGTCGATAAAGACTGTAGAAAAGCTCGAAGTACATGTAGCTGAACTTAACGTGAAAATTGAAGAATTAAACCGTACCATCATCGACATCACCAATGTTAAAACCAGGATCTCACAGGAAAATATTGAATTGACGAAAGAAGTGCAAGATTTGAAAGTAAATATTTTTCCTAACTTTTTCATACAAGACATAAATACATCATTTTTCGTATTGATAAAGAGATAATATTTTGAAAGATAATTAAAATCGTAACATAATTTCAATCAATAATAACAAAACAATCTAAAAACCGATAATATTTAGATATATGATTAGAAACACAATAGATAAATACTCTCTGATGATATATACGTTAATTTCAAGAAAAATTAAGGAATCAGAGAATTTAAAAAACAATAAGATCCACAAATGAAATAATCCATCCATCTAAAATCTAATATCTATATATAATTAACCCATCTAATCTCTATATATCTTTATATAATTTTTCTCTGACAATTTATTCCATCATAAATTTTGTAGGTTAACATCGAGAACGCTGTCTACCTGAAAACTCAGATCGCAGGTCAACTCGACGATGCTCGTCGTCGTCTCGAAGATGAGGAACGTCGTCGTTCATTGGTCGAGGCCTCTTTACATCAAGTATATATTCTTTTGATTCCACGTATTATTGTAAAAACAATGCACGCAATAATTTAAACGATTGTCAACAGGTTGAATCGGAATTGGAATCTGTTCGTATTCAATTGGAAGAAGAATCTGAGGCACGTTTGGACATTGAACGTCAATTGGTCAAAGCCAATGGTGAAGTGCAAGTTTGGAGATCTAAATATGAAACCGAAGCTAATGCTCGTGCCGAAGAGGTAATTGAAAAAAGAAAATATTAAATCTATAAAACTATGAAACTATGAACTAAACTAACCAGTTATTACTATATATTCGATTACTATATTTATCAAAATAAAATTTAATTATTTATAATAAGCAATAAAGAATACACCCTGTTTATCAAGCATACATCGAAATTAATAATATAAACACGACAATATGAAACTTTGATTAAGTTTTGAAACGTGGATTGAATTCTACAGGTAGAGGAGTTGCGTCGCAAGTACAGTGCTCGCATTCAAGAACAGGAAGAGCAGATTGAAACTCTACTCGTGAAGATCAACAATCTCGAGAAGCAAAAATCTCGTCTCCAATCTGAAGTAGAAGTGTTGATCATCGATTTGGAAAAGGTATAATTTCATGCTACGATTATAATTACTGCCTAATAATTTCTTATGAAATTGTTTAACGAACACTGTCAAAAATATTAATTTTTGAAGAAAACAGTAAACTTGAGATAAATATACCAGGTTATGCGAAACTTTTTTTGAAATAAACTTTGATTAACAATTTTCTTATCTATTTGGCAATTGTGGAATGTAATCGACCTGGTAAGAGTTCAAAGTTTGTAATATGCAATGTATGAGCCATGATATATTCCAATTTTAATCTTTAATTTTCACGTTTAATTCTTAAGGCAAATGGAACAGCTCGCGAACTGCAGAAACGCGTGGAACAATTAGAGAAGATCAATGTCGAACTCAAGGCTCGTTTGGATGAAAGCATGGCAATGTATGAACAAAGCCAACGTGATCTCCGCAACAAACAACAGGAACTTCAGCGTTGCAACGCTGAACTCGACAAAACTCGCGAGTTGAAAGATCAACTGGCTCGTGAAAATAAGAAATTGGGAGGTAAGCGATTTTATACGTAATTATAAATAATCGATTATTTTTATATAAATACATAAATCCTTACTAATCGTTAACTCGTTATTTGTTTTTCCAAATTGAATAAAATATTATGAACGAGATTATAGAAATATATTTTATAATGATTGTTGTATGATTTTTCCAGATGACTTGAACGATGCTAAAAATCAACTATCTGATATGAATCGCAGACTGCACGAATTGGAACTTGAACTCCGCCGATTGGAGAACGAACGCGAAGAACTTGCTGCTGCCTATAAAGAAGCCGAAGCAGTAAGTGAAACTATATCTTTATCTTGATATTTTTATATTCCTAATCCTCAATTCTATATATTTCTATCTTGAATTTATTGAATTTGTGTATAAAATTTGTATCACGTGAATTTAATCTTATAATTATTAAAAATAATTTCGTAATCGAATAAGAAGGAAGTAAATTTCCAAATTTCTTTCTCAAAGTATATACTGCTCCTAAAATCTCTAAATTTATTTTAAATATGTTCAAACCTGTCATACGAATATAAAGATCTTTTCAAATTAATTATTTCCAAGAACTGTATAAAATATAATATAAAATTGTTTATAAAATAAATTAAATCGATTACAGGGACGTAAAATTGAAGAACAACGCTCGCAGAGATTGTCTGCCGAATTGACTCAACTTCGTCACGATTATGAACGTCGTCTGACTGAGAAAGATGAAGAAATCGAAATCATTCGGTAAGTACATTGAATTGTTTGCGATATGCTTACTCTTATTTTATTTAATTAATATTATAGTAATTTGCAATGTAATAACTTCTAATTTCCTAATATTAAAACCTAATTCTGTATTATTATGAAGCATGATTTACGGTGAAAATAGTTTCCAGGTGATACGTTTAATAATATAATGATTTTTAACGATTGTTATAATTATAATATTCATTTATTCTAAATTTAATCGAGATTTATAAAAATATCTGTAATTAATCAATTATTACAAAGTTTATTTTTCTCTCGCATATTTATATTGACCGATTAATGGACGATACCCCTTTTCTTTTCTATTGCTTTTTCCGAGAAACATTTGGCTTAGGTGAAGCCAAAACTTAAATGAACAGACATCTAGAATGTGGCTATTTCTATTCAACGAATATGGCTATTTGTACAAAGCTATTTCTACTCGATGAAATCGAATATTCTCTCAAGTCACATAAATCAAACTCTTTTGACAAAGTATTTCTATTTGCAGTTTTACGTCGATTGTTAAATGCTAACATAAAAATTTAATATCACAAAATTGAAATTAATGAACTCTATGAAAAAATCCAGAATATATAAAAAATAATATAAAATATTATAAACTACATTTCCTATAATATAACTATAACTATAAACTATACTAACTATAACTATAAACTAAATTTCCTATAAATTATAAACATCCTATTATTTATTTTATTCTAAAAATTACGATTTATAGATTTACATACAATGATCCCTTGATACATATTGAAATATATTGATATATTGAAATTACGTAAGCGTTATAAAAAATTTATAATTCAATATTCCACATTTAAAACTATTGCAATTGCAAAGAAAAAATCTATAAAAGAGAGTACGAATTTTTAAAATTTATTACTGATGAAATCAATTTTATTTCCGGTGCGATCATCGCGTGATGACGTCTAGCTATTAATAAAAATGGCTAATTTTATCATTGATTGGTCATATCGATTAATCACCCAAAGTATCTCAGTGTCTCATCGTCGAACGTTCAAGGGAATGTCCTGTGATCTATATATTCATTTATATCGGAAGTGTAAATAAAAAAATCACGGATTACACGCGTGACCGAACGCGAATACTATTTTTCTTGGCTTAAATCTCTTTGAGACTTATATTAGATATCAAATGATCGATATATTCTTACTCTTTACTATGAATGAAGCTCACGTGCTACAAAGAAATAATATTTTTCTTACTGAAAAACAAAAATATTTATAAAAAAAATGACTGTATAATTATATTTGAAAATATGAAAATACGAAATCCTTCATTAAAAATAACAATCTATTTCAATCAAAAATACTATGAGAAGTAAAACAAAAAAACGATTAAAACTAAACATATTTTTTTACTTTTATATGTAAAATAATTTGCAAAAAATACAATAAATATGAATTAGATAAATTTCATCATCTAACTATTCTAAAATTAAAAAAATTATTTGTGAAAATTTCAATTGATTAAAAAGATTACTGACAGAACTTTTAATTATAAAATAATGATTCATAATAAACATTTATCTATATTATCTATCTATATTATTAAATAAATACAAATAGCAAAAATATTTATATTTTCAAAGAAATAATATCATTATTATTACATACGATGCTCGAACTTTTAATTGAAAAGAATACCATATTCCTTTCATAAGAAAACCAACATTCAACGAAATATGAAACGAAATCTTGAATAATGTCGTCACGTTTTGGGTCAATAATTGAGCTGAATATCGACGATGCACAAACAGTGCGCAATCCGACTATTAATAAACGTCGTTCAACACCGATCAGTCACGATCTAATTATTAACCGAGAGGTGCTGATTGGCCGTTCCCAATGTAGCAATCGTAAGAAAAAGCTACAAAAGATAGCATCGCGTTTAACCGGCCCAATTTTTCTTAACCGTTTCGTTGCAAGTGTCATCTCCGATTGTACGACTATGAAAGACACGTGAGTAAAATATCTGCGAATTTCCCAATGACGAAATCCTATATCTAACACCCTTAGCACGAAGTACAACATGCAATCCTTTTTATTCAAGGTAGATGTTGGATGAAACATTAACAATACCCACACAAAAAATTTATATCCCTCAAAGTAAACATTTCGAAGAAGTTTAGAAGGAATTTATCGGTGGTCAATATTTCCTAAAGAAGATCCATATTTCTATTATCATAAAGCATAATAAGACAGGATTGAGAAAAAGAAAAATCGAAATACATTATTATATGAAAAACTATTTCACTCCTCAAAAAATTTCAGTGCAGAGAACAATACATCTCTGCCAACCAAGAATTCTCGCAAAGAAATCTATCTAAAGAAAATAATAAAAAAAAAAACCGAGGAATCTAAAAACTAAAGAAAAATAAAAAAAAAACTCTAGAAAAATAAGAAGGAAAAATGGCAAGTTACATGCCCCCGTTGCACGTTCCCTTGGAGACAAAATGGAAGCATTGGCCCACCTATATCTACGATAAGAACTACGGTTATGGGATCAATTACTATCAACCGATGCTGGATCACATCGATCGTGAAGGTCGACCCTCGTCGTTACCAAGATATCGTAGAAGATCGGAACCACCGGAATTACCATGGTCGGATGGAAGGCTTTTATGGGAGGATAAACCCGTGGAACCGTATTCGAGACACGAATTGATCAAGCGGGCAATCGACGCGGAGGACGAGGCCAGGGATCATCTAACCCATTTCAAGGTACGAATCGAGATAGGAGAGCGAAAGTCGGAGCAGAGTCGAGCGTGGAAAAGCGGTTAGACGCCTCCACGACTGCTTGACCTTTTCCTCCGCTAAATTTGGCGCCACGGAAGGAGCTGTTCCAATATGAACGCTCTTTGTACGAAAACGGATGCCTCGCGAGGCTGTTGTCGACTTTTGGACGGATCTTTGTCGGTCGAATGTAGGAACGAATTCGAGAGGAAAGTCATGGTCGCTCTGAGAATCGGTCTTAGCTTGATTATACATAATTTTAAAATATATCTCAAGATGTTTATCATTATAACATATTGCAATAATAAATAATATTATTATGATACATCATCTATTATTTTGACGTATTGAAGATGAAGGAAATTGAATTATATCTACAAATATTTATATTGCAAAATATCCATAAAATTTCTAATTAATTTATATATAATAAATTTCTTATTAAATGGAACTTTGGAATTGATAAAATGAAATTTAAAGATCGAAAATTTTTGTTTTCTTGATATTTTTTAAAAAGATGTTAGATAATGCCAAAGGATTTAAAAAAAAAATAAATGGCAATGAAAGTTCATTTACTTTCGGATATTGAAATATCGATAAGTGTTGTAAATTTATAATTTAAATTAATTTTATTTTATTATGAAATTTATTAACATCCTTTTTAACATCCAACGGTTAAAAAATTAATATTTTTGAAATGTTAAGCAATATTTATTTCAGAATTTAAATTTATAAAGTTATTTTATTGTTTCATTTATCGAATCTGAAGTTAAAAATAAAAAATCAATTTTCGCCTAATATCTTTACTTAAAAAAATATATATAATTTGTACTTTTATGTCTTTGATATAAAATATTAATCGTTTCATAAATGATGCTACTTTTTTTATATATAATATAGAGAAATATTCTGATTAATTACAATCTGTTTTTCATCTAATAAAAAATTATCTAATTAAAAAATTATATATTATTAATAAAATAATTTAATTTTATAAAAGGGAATATAAGCATAATGAGATAATTTAAAAAAAATATGTATTGAAATTCATTTGATGAATATAAAAATTATATTTGACAATTATAAATTTTATGGATATTTTGCAATATAAATATTTGTAGATAGAATTCAATTTCCTCAATATATCTTCGAAATATTAAAATAAGAATGAAGATATATCGTAATAATACATTATTATTACAATATGTTGTAATGATAATGATATACATATTTTCAAAATTATATATAATCAAGTTGACAATTGGCACTATCTTGTGAAATAAATAAAATTATTGTTTTTCTGCCATTAATTCTAAACACGCAAGTTAATATTAAAATTCTTTTTTTATAATCGATTTCTTCAACAATATACCTATTTTCCAGCTTAAAAATAATAATATTATTAAAAATAGATAAAACTCTAAGGAATATAATTTACTATATTCTATACATGTCGAAACAAAGCTTCCTCGTTGCTATTTTAAATTCTTATTGTTAATATCCAAAAATAAGTTACTTATATTTATATTCAAACAATATCTATTTTACTTTTACTAAACATCAAAATACGATCTCTTGATCTCAAAATGGATTCAAAACGATCTAAAATTTTGAAAAATAGGCAGAAAGATAAAATTTTTCCCATATTAAAAAATACCAATCGGAAATATTTCTCGAAGCATAGAATTATTTCAAAACCTGAATCGATCAGAGCCGATCAAACTTTCCAAGACAATACGCGTTCTATATTCCGCTCCAATAACCCGTGATGCTCGATAATCGCCCCACTGTCACCGAATCTTAATTTAACACGGCCACACCGCAGCCATTGGCAGTGAGTCTCCGGCGTAAAATGAAATCGGTTGCGTTTTAGAAAGCGGGAATTCCTAAATCTCATTGTTATTAATATCGCCCAACAGCCTGACTCCGATAGATTCAAAATCGGCGCGGAAGGAAACAAAAATATCCCCCGGAAGCGATCATTTGGCACCCCCTCCCTCCCCCGGTCCCCTCGAATCGTTCCTCCTCGGCTAGAATGGAAGTAACAGAGACA